CTTGGAGGATATATATATGTCTGATTTCCCACAAACTGGAAGATATGAAAGCGAAAAGCAACAAGTTGGCAGAAGAAGCATCAAAGATAGGACTTCAGGTGAACATAGAGAAAACAGAGGTGATGGAGATTCCTGGGCAACACCAACAACAGCAACAGCAACAACAACAGACAACAATCAGCATAAATGGAAAGAACCTGAAAGAAACAACCTCTTTTACCTACCTGGGAAGCATCGTTTCAACTACAGGCGGAACTGACGAGGATATCAAAGCAAGAATCGGAAAAGCAAGACAAGCTTTCACTACTCTCAAGTCTGTGTGGAGGTCAACAACACTCAGCATCAAAAATAAGATCCAGATTTTCAACTCCAATGTGAAGTCAGTGCTACTATACGGATCAGAGACTTGGCCAGTGCGTCATAAAGAGCATCTCAAACAAACTACAGACCTTCATCAACAGCTGCCTTCGCTCAATACTGCTCAAGATCAGGTAGCCAAAAAGATCAGCAATAGGGATCTCTGGGAGCGAACCAACTCAGCAGGGACCGATTGTGAAACAAATAGGCAGAAAGAAATGGAGATAGATTGGCCATACTCTAAGGAAACCATCAAGTGACATCACTAGACTAGCCATTGCTCGAGTGGAACCCGAAAGGGAAGCGGCGAGTTGGTCATCAGTGTGAGGGTGACTTGGAGGAGGTCATGTGAAGAGGAGATGAAAGCGTGTGGGCAGACTTGGAGCCAGGTGAAGACTCTTGCAGAGAACCGAACGCAATGGAGAAGCACGGCTGAAGCCCTATGTTCCTCTAGGAATTAAAGGATACAATAATAATAATAATAAACATTGTTATCGGTACATCTTAATCTACTCTCTCACACCTAAGCATCATATATTCGAGAAATACAGATTATTGAAAAAAGAATTAACTTTTGACAATTTCCTATTCACGCTATACAGTTATGTCTCTATATTAAGTAAGTAATAAGTAGATTTATATAACTTACAAAGGTTTTTAGCAGCAAATCAACAAATCAAACAAACCTTTAGGATAAACAATGTTTAAATTTGAAGGTAACTGAGTTTCAACAGACTTCATCTAAAAAATTGTTTGATATTATTGTTTGAATTCTTGATCTGTTGCTACATTACATTTGTGAATTTGATATAAACAAACATTTTTCGATCTAATATGGATATGAAACTGCAGAGCCTGAAGATTAAGTCATCGAACAGTATATTCTTTATTCAATAAATGGTGTTCTAATCATTGTAAGAGTCATTACACACTTCGACACATTATTCATATTGGAGGCAAGGAAACATTGTTGCACGAGACACACCTGCCAGCTAACACTGTATTAAGACCCGAGTGATGCAGTTCATTACAGACTCATTTGACTGTTCTTTATTTGAACCAGCGAATACTTGATATCTATTTTCTTGTCTAATAAAACATATTTAGATATTGATATGATTAGAATCTCATATATAAATCATATAAATCTCAAATATTTTCTACTACTACTCATCTTCTGATCATCACTTTGTGCTATCTGTGAAGATTGCTCGTGCTGTTCATACTGTCCGTGAGTTTGCACTTATCAAACTGCTTTGCTTAGTTATTTTTCAAAATAATATGTATGAACAAAATTTGCAACTATGAAAGTTGGGGATAAATAAATTGCCTTAGAATAAAGTTACATGTATGATAAAATAATAAGCTCGATTTTTCTTATCAGAGACTTATCGGTTCACAGATCTCATAATCTGAATAAGTTGCTTGCTAGTAAAGATTTGTATAAACACTATAAGGTAACAACCAAATATAAAGTGGACTTCTATATATTGCGGTATATTCAAGTTGGTATCCAGTATTCCGATGGTTTGAAATGATTCAGCTGTGAGCTGAGTCTACCTGGTTACTACGGTGATGAGCTCGACTTCAAACGAGAGAAACTGCTTTCCGAGGTTCAGATCACCCATATCTAATTAGCAAGCACCATTGCTTGACATGAATGGCTTCTGATTACTCATAACAGTCAGTGACATAAAGTATCTTGTCATAAAATAAAACAATTATTCAGAGGAAAATGTAGAGCTGACTTAACTTCGCGCGAAAATGTACATCTAGCAAATAACACAAAAGACTTTTCTCAGGTACAGATTGTACAGAAAGTTTGATAACAAGATAGTCAAACAGCAGGAAAACCTTGTTCTTGAATTATCCGAAAGAAATGATAAATAATTCACAGCATTGCTAGCCTGCAGAACTCGTCATCCAGTATTGCGTGCTGCCCTATCACTGTTAAAGCCCTCTGACCAAGCTGAAGGTAAGTGGTCAATCATCCTAGTCATCTGGCGTGCTCTCACGTTAAATTTGGTTGTTTGTGAATGGTCTCTAGTTAGCTAAACACGCATCCCTGCTTAACATTACTGATCCGGAAATGTACTTCGTATTTTGTAGGTTCTAAATGTTTTTCTCATTTGACTTACTAATTGTTCTGTAGTCCACGTCGAAAAATGCGTAAAAAGTTGAAGTATGAAATACATGTACAATCGTACCGTTCATACTCGTGGAAATCTTCATCCTCCAAACTGGTGGATCTGTAACCAACCTTCGCTTCATATTAGTGAATGAGTTCCATTTTTTATTTGTTCAATTCATATGTCTATATTTTTTAAACCTTTGTTATTATGTGTGAACAGACAACTTCTACCGAATAACACATCAATTCAACTCGTGCCATTTTCTCCTGACAACACAGAAATGTGTTTTCTGTAGGCAGCTTCTGGTTTCAATGAGCATGAAATAACCGATCCACGTTCCAACTTCTAGGAATTACGCAAATGTGTCACCTCAATATGCTCACCCCAGAAATAAGCATAATGCACAGGATGCTTATGTCAGCAGTCATTAAGAGAAAAAGATCTTTCAGGCCGCTGAAGATATTTTCGAGCTAGGTTGAAGCTCGCCGGACACAAGCTTTGGCATATGCGCCAAGTCATAGGCAGCGCTATTTGGTGATGGTGTTATTTGAGAAATTTCTTGGTTCAGTTGACATAACTAGTGCAAAATGTAATCTTGACAGTAGAAGCAGCATCTACCGACAACTTCACTATATCGACTGAAACAGCTTCAGAAATATACTAAAAACCGAAAAAAGAAAAATGCTTGGCTGGTAACAAATTTTCTAGCGCCACCTATAAAATCATAGGGTTTTATGACTCGGTTAAACAAATTCTGAACTCATACAGCCCAAATAGTCGACCGACTGCCACTAAACTTCATTTAAACGCGTCATCTACCGTTGTTGATTGAAATCTAAGCTAAATTACGACAAGAAACCAATTTCTGAACTACAGAGCTGGCTAAAACCATTGTGGTGTATCACAGATTTTGTCACAAATGTGTTTTCTTGCTGTCGTCGGGACAATTAGAAACTGTACTTACATCACTCAAGCAAGTTTTGGTTAGCTAAACAGTAGGACGCGGAGACTGGCTTCCAGCGTTCAGAAAACAACACGTCCGGTTCGCTTGTTACAAAACCCAACAATCATTCGTTATGAATTATACAGAGCTGCAGACCCTAAAGGAGTGTTGTTGAAAATTTGTGAACAGTCAGGATACAAGACATTTACTCAGTTATTCGTTCCTGAGTTGTACGCAGTTGGAAAGATACCGACGAAATAAAATGAATCCGTTTTTATCCTGCTCCATCCCTTATTACTTTATTCAAATTCATTAAGGGGAATTCGTGTGTGGAATTTCCTAAGAATGCCTTCTTCATTTGTTCAAATCTCCGAATTATCTGGTGACAATAGGATTCCCAGAGAAGTCACTCATTCGAAGTTTCATGATGAGTATCTAGGGTTATGCTGCTTCCCTCGGCAATTACTGAAATCTCCCAGTGCATACAAACTACCTTCATCTATCAAAACCCTACGACATACCACGAAGTGTCATATTGAATCTTCAAGATCGCCTATAGAAAAACTGAGGTCTGAAACCAATCTGGATGTTCTCAGTAAGTTTATTGCCTCGTTGGATGCGAACTGCCTATTCACTAATCTACATCCTTATAAAACTGTGTAGCTTATATGCCAGGATTCTGATCATCTTCCCATGTCACTTTCAATATTCAGATGCTTTTTATTGGTGTGTGTGTGTGTGCTCACGACTTTCAATTCCAGTTCAACAACATATTCTACCACCAAATTGATGGATTAGTGAAGGGATGGCCACTAGGCAGATATTTTCACGGGAATCTGAAGAAGAGAATAGTAAGAATTCATAGTTGTATCCCACATCTCGCTTTGATTCTCCATCGACAATCAACTTCACTATAAGTGTTTGCGGTAAATGCTTCCCCAGAATTATTGGCCACAGCATTCATCACTGAACATTGGATGCTGACCCTCACTTTCTAAGTGAACTTGTTTAGCTGAAGGCTTCCGGCCAAATATCCACCCCATCTGGCACGCTGTCGTGTCACGTTCGCTTGTTAGTACACGATCCCTATCTAGCTAAGCAATCATCTCGAACTCCGAGTTGGTCCCGAAATATATCTCGTAATTCGGACAATCAATTCTTGTGTTTTGCTTTGCCTTTGGTCTACGCGGAACGAATACTATAGAAGTTCTGGGTATTAGATCTTGCGTTAGTATACGTCGCACTCTCCGTGAACTTCAGCACCATGAGACACTTGCGTTTCAATTAAAGTAAGTCTTGTGCATCTGGTGTCTTAACAGCTCGGTGCGAGGAAAAATAACCACAATATTTTCAATAGCGAGCTATTTTGTAAATGAAGCTTCGAGTGTGCCGACAATTGGCGAAGAGATTGTGTAGTTTGTTTCTCTAAGAATATATAGGGAATAAACGGGGTAACCAAGCGGAGAAAATTCGAAAACTTGGGTTATTTGTCTTGCATGTTAACGTCAATTTATCTACATTTCAATCGAAAAGAATTCACTATATTCACTATAATTCCCCAATATTTTCTATGTGCATGTGTTATTATTTTGTACGTTGGTCTGAAGTTTTTTTAACAAACACCATAGCTATTTAACAACGCCTTTACCTGGTTTAACAAAACATCGTAAATGTTATCGCCTTCAAAGTAAACATGAGCTACATTGATTTTTCCTACACACTCAGGGTCAACAGGAGCTTTCCCCTTGCAAATCACACTTTTGACTGTTCTCGTAATCGACTGAAAGTGAGAGCAACTAACCTTTTTCGCAACTCTCATGGTCACTCCCATCACTGTTGTCAAGTTGGTGACTCTTCAGAGGGCGCTTCATCAATATGCACAGTCCAAATATGGTACTTCAAAGATGAAAAGCAAACAGAAAGTTACAAAAATAGTATAGTATAAACTGTCGATAGAAGAATGTTCTTCAGAAGTGGACAATATTTCAAAATATTAGCTTAGTCATTATCGTAGTCAGTCCAATCTTAAGGGATAACCTATTGATGGTTCTGTTGAATCGTGTTCATTAAATTCATTTGCCAATAAGCTAATAATTACAAGGCAAGACTTGAACAGAAAACAAGCAATCGCACTTTTTCACCCCATGTTAGGTAAAGAACAAGATTTCTCCACTCCCTATCATCTTCAAATTTTTTGAAATGTTTACCAATCTGGTGCCATTTGAATCTCAAGTTTTTCTTCTTTACATCAGCTATCCATTCGATATACTGGAAAGAATCGTGACATGAACTGGTGCATGTCTGTTCAAGGTACTACTCCAACCTACCTCTACACAATATACGTCGATGGTCTTATTTATAGTCTTTGTACTGAATTCCTAATTTAGAATTTCCACATGAAGTGCATTTCTTTACAGAAAAGAAGCCCAACACTGTTGAAAATTTATTTGGCATCAGATCCAGAGTTATTGCATATATAGTAGTACTGAAAATAGTGTTTCAAGTTAATTTAAATCTTGTGCATCTGGTGGATTATTAGCTCAGGGCAGGCAAAAAGTATCCACTTAAACCATGGAAAACGATCCAGTTGGAGAATTTCTCGCGGGTACAAACGTGGGAACAATTCCGGGTGACTCTAAACTATAGCAGACCAAAACAAAACTGTCTCCAGCCACCAATGAGATGCGTAATGCAATCTAAAGAGTGGTTACATAGGATAGTATCCTTGTATATGTTCAAAAAAACCGCCCGATTTCTCACAGTAGTCTTCATAGTCACCTTAACCCAATTTCTGTATATAAATTTGTCAAAGAGTAGTTAGTTTTTCAAAAAAAATATTGGGTAAAAAGAGGGTCAAAAAGTGGAGAGAATTTGAAAACGTGAGTACTTCGTGTCGCATGTTACCCACCCTTCATCTAGTTTTCAAACGATTAGAATTGGCGGCACAAGTGTACGATAGACACCAAAGTCAAATGACCTTGAACCGACTAATCAGATCGTTCATCATTCATAAAGAATGCTGTTCATGAACTTCGTTGCAAGTTTCACCCAGATTTGTTCTTTGACTTCTGTGTGGAAAATGGGTTGATAGGGAGGTCTAAAACCTGTATATGTGGAGGTATAATGACACTACAAAAGTATTGCCGGATACGCATTTAGATGCAACCACTGTTATATGAGGAAATCTATGGGAGTTGGTAAGTCGTACATTATGGTGATTTTTTAGATACTTTCTTCTGCAAATCGAAACTGTCCCCTAGTAAAATATTGCGTATATGACACAACTGGCTACTAAAGCTACCGGTATCTGATACAGCTAAAGAAACGGAGAATACAAAGATTTCATTATTGTAGTGATTTCAGTACTGTCGTGATATTGCGTCACAAAGGTTAAATGGGATCACTTATGCAGTTGGGGGAGTTGGTGTTGTCGTGCATATTGACGAAACCGTAATTACTAAGCGAAAAATGAATCGTGGCAGGAGTAGAGCAACTCATGTTTAGCTGCTGAGACTTTACGACACAAATCTTCGTAAAGGGTTTGTAGAAGGCATCCTGAACAGAAGTGCTGATGTCTTAATACCAACTGTATAATGAACAGCCCTCCCAGGAACTGCCACTCACACAGACGTATGGGGAGGTTATTCTCAATTATCATCACTAGGCTATATGCACCAAACTGTCAACCATTCTTCTGAGGTGGTGGATCTCGGAACAGGAACACATACAAATTCTATTCAAGGATTTTGAGCTCGCTTCAAAAAACGTATCAGAGCGGTTAACGGTTCCAGAAATTATATAGTACATACCCAATAAGGTGAGGTTTTGTATCGACCCTCGTTTGATATGTCCATAACCACTACTTTGCGAAACTCAGACAAGTTTTAAAGAATATTAGAAACATTAGTCCTGTAAAATTCATTTTAAATAGATATATATATTGTAAATATAATTTCAATAATGTATTATTCATGATTGCATTTTACACCACTTTGTAGCCGTGTAGGATTTTCTCCTCTTCCTGAAATAGCGTTCAAGCACGTGGTTGTCGCTCAACTTCGATGGAAACCTTCGTGGAAGATTTACAAATTAACAATTATAAGAATCTGTTCCGATTGCTTGTACTATATAATTCAACAATTTGAACTTTTAAAGAAGTGATAATCTTACTATCCCTTGTAAACGTTGTACTTACCTCAATATTGGTTGGCTATCGTATGCCTACAACTACGGGTTGAAAACGAAACGAAGTCGATTTTCCTGCGCAACCTGGAGGACTACTGTTTAATTCAATAATGGGTCAGACAATGAGTGTATTTATATATATATATCAAATATTTAGCTGTTCAAACATTATTAACTTGTAGACAATCTACTATTTGTCATTATATCATACTTGATCGTGCCTGTAAAAATGGCATGCATTTTCATGTAAATTTATGTTTATATGAAAACATAAATTATTATTATTATCAATACACTTTTTATTATTTTAGCTGAAACAATATGATTGAATGTTTTGAAGTCGTCTGTAGTTGCTGCCCAATTACTTATGTCGCCGAATTGATCATTTCGACTATGATTCCCCAACTTTTTCTATGTGCATTCTCCACCTTGGAATGGTATAATGAACAGTGAGCAGGCACTTTCATATATTTTGCATCAGATACTACGCCTGACGGAAACTCAGTGAAAGAACTTTGGAAGAATAGGAGTCTGAAGTTCTGTTAATATATTTGGGTGATGACAACTCAAATTCACCTCGCCTACTTCCCGCACCTTTCATTAGCTAGAACGCTGGCGGTCATTTGATATTTGATTCTCCGCAGATAGGAGTGAGGATTAGGGCTATTGCTATGTATTTTCGCTCATAGTATGGGATATCGTGTTCATGCCTACAGAGGCATTATAAGCGTCTGTTCTTGTGAAAATGGGGTCTTAATAATTTTTAGTCTTCCACGGTCGAGAAAAGCGATATTTTCTTGTATTATGCTCGTTTTAATGCGAAAATTTGTCTTGATATCCCAGACGAATCATCACAAGAAAAGGCATGCACTTAAAGAAATTATACATAGAAATAACTTTGATTTTGTTTGGGAGTGTCAAATGTTTGATATTCACCAGTGGTTTTAGATTTCCAGGTTGTAAACTGATTACATACAGTGGTTAATGTCCTAGCAGTTATTCTGCAGGATTCGGGTCTTGATAGAGAATAAGCCCACAGACGTTAGTCAAATATCTGTTCTGAGGAACTTCAGCGTTTTAATTTTCTTCGGTGATGGATAAAATCACTCCTGATAAGCCAGTGTCAGGTCAGTTCTTCAATATGGGTTAGAAACTAACTGCATGATGAGAAGCATTTCCAACAGCCAACCGCAAACTTTTATCAACAGCTGTCTTCGTTCTATATTGAAGATCAAATGGCTGGCCGGAAAGCATTAGCAACAAAAAACTATGGGAATAAGTCAACCAAGATCCTATCGTCTAACAAATATGTAGGGGGAAAGTGGGGATGGATTGGGTATACACTGAGGAGCCAATCAAACGACATTACATACCAGACCCTCGAGTGGAATCCGAATGGGAAGCGACGAATGTGTCGTCCTAAGGTGATGTGTAGGAGATGGTGCAAGGGGGAGAAGAGAGATAATGGGCAATCGTGGACCAAGCTAAAGAGGACAGCAGAAAATTGAACAAAGTGGAGATGTGTAGTTGAAGCCCTATGTTCCACCCGGTAACCAAAGGAAGAATAATAATAGTATACAAGCTTTGTTGCGTCATACACTGTGTCCAGATTGGTTATATATAGCGGTGGTTATCAGTGACTACGAACCCGTCCGTCTCTGTGCATTTCTCGAGTTGTTTTTACATATGTAATATTTATGCGTCAATAGTTCTCAATCATGTGGTCTAATGTTCTATCTTCCTTGAGAATTGAATGTGACAAACAGTAGCAATAGTAAACGCAAACATTTATTTAGAATTCTCCAGAGCACATTCCAATGTCATAGGCTTTGTTTTAATTTGTACATGTAAATTGGCGCGAACTCCATTTTAAGCCTTTCTCTTTGTCTCTTTTTCCTTAGATAACCTTTACCCTATATTTAACTCAAATATATGGCGTACATGAGTGCTTTTCCCTTGTAGCCAATTCTTTCTAATTTGAGTTTTGTCGTCAGTTCCTGCAGGTTAGGTGGAGTACTGAATTACTGGATGCATAGGTAAATCGTGTTAAATAGGTAGCAATAATGGATGAAATTTACGAAGCTTCTCCTAGAAGTTCATCACAGTTAATCAGTATGAGTGGAATCAGCTGTGGTGCAACCAAATGTTTTCATGAAATTGTACTGTGGAGACCTCTACTCACCTGGCAGGGTGTTGAGAATTCACTCATAAACATCCGAAAATCGAGAAACGTGAAAGCATATTTGTTATGAAGTTATTATGGATCTCATGTGTATTACTTTTAAGGATTTCGAGTCAGATTCTCAAATCTTCCAGGATGGTGATACAATTTCATTCGGAAGAATACATCAGAAATTAGCTGACGAGACGGTGTTTTTCGACCTATGAGCAAATCGAGCTCTGTAAACAGTTTGCAGAGATTGTAGAAATTGATTCTACGTCAAGCACAAACTAAGGAAACTAATTTCACACGTTTATTAATAACAATGTTGTCAAACTTTGTTGTAAATTGTCACAAGGCATAACTTTGGATACGGGCGTCATGTCCTGACGCTAGAACTGAAAATAAACCTAAACATGACGAAGTTTGGGTGCTCGATGGTTTGCGTCGAATGATGTCTGTTACTGTTATCATGAAGCGTGCTC